AAACATAAGTTTGCATATATTTTGAAGCCTAAATTAATCTAAAAGAAATGTTGAATATAATTTTCATTTTACATTTGTAATTTCATTTACAAAATACTTACTTTTACGCAAAATATTATTTGTTAAAAGTAGTCATAATACGATATTATCACGATATCACCCCTGTTTTTTCATCTCTTCTCCCTAAGCTATATCCAGCTGGGCCACCATTTTCGTTTGTGCTTATTAATGATTGTTGTTATGTCTGGTCAGGGTTTGCCCATTTACCCCCGGCTCCGTACAAGCAATTTGTTGGGCCTTTCCCTTATTTATTACATTTGCCTTGTTGAGGTCAGTATTTGTTAGACCGAGTCTGGAAGTCCGTCCCGCCCTTGATTCTATTCGAGTCCCATAAAAGCTAACAGCCCCCAGGCATTAAGTGTGTTCTCATTTGGTCCCGTCCATGAGCCTTAATTAATATGAATTAATTTTAGTGTTAATTGCAAGTGGTGGGGCATGGTTTACGCTCTCAATGCATGTCGAAGATTTCTGTCTGGCCCTTCACTTACATGAAATGAAAGTGTTGGCACTGTGAGAAAAATTAAGAGGAGGTAGGTATTTATTAAAATTCTGGTAATAAAAGGAAAGAATAATATATAAAGCAACAGAATTCTTTTAAAAGAAATTTCTTAGATTTCTTTCAGTTATTTATTAAATATTCTAAACTATACCTTTGTATGAGCATAACTTTAACGCAATTCCTGCTTGCCCCAAAAGACTAAACTCTTGTGGAACATCAATCACCTTCATCGCCATCAGCCCGACAAGAGGAGTTCCTTGGCATTATTATAGGTAATTAGCTTAGTTTGGAATGCGATTTGAACATTATTCAGCAAAAAGCGGCCAAAGAAATTTAGTTAATGACTTAATTAGACATTTACCCAACTTATGGTTTCCTTAAAGAAAAAGCCAAGGAATGTCCCTTAGAAACTGTCTTGTAGTGCACTTAGCTCCTCTTTAGTTCCAGCTTTTATCGAAAAGAAAAAGATCTTTTCTTGCTCCTAAAAACAAAAAAAGAAAAACTTGAGAGGGCATGATGGGAGATTAGCGGAGACACAGTTTTTTGTGCTGTTGTTTACTGTAATTAATATTAAGTATACGCCGTGTTTGACAGCTTTCAGTTGTTATCCAGCTAAAGAGCCTCGAAAACGTCACGTAGATAAATAGAGCCACTAAGACCCAATGTCAGGGAGCAGCTAAATCAAATTTGGCCCGCACCATTTTTAGTTTATTCTTTCTTACTGCCCTGGCTCCTCTGCCACTCCTTGCTCCTTGAAGGCCAACAAGGTGGACGAGAGTAAATAATAAATAAATATTTGGAAAACGTTTCGCTAACAGGACACGTACTGGGAATTAACAGCGGCGGAGCGGGGGATATGGTGGGGATCGGGAATAGAAACGGAAGCATCTGGGCCGTGGCCAAGACGTGCCCGAGTCTTTGTTGACTAAAGCTTAGACGCGGCCGAAAACTTTTGGCTGGCCATTAAAGTTTAAAGATGAAGGCGACAGCTTGCGAAACCGCAGCGGACTCGACCCCGGCGAATATAATCCCTGCCCCTAGAGCTCCCCCCTGCCATCACTTTTAAACGATTCCATTCTCCAGGCCTGAGTAACCGCAGTGGAGGTTTCGGTTTTCGGGAAGCCCGCATAGATTTACAATCAGCTGCCGCTCGCCCGGGCCTTATGCCACAAATCATAAAAACGCATCCCCACACACAAACATATGCTCGTGTTAGTTCATCATGCGCCCTCCTGCGGCCATGCGACCATGCGGCCTGGCCTGCCCTGCGTATACGTGATATTTTATGGGTCACTCGCTTCGCCGTCGACCCTAAATCCCAGGGATGTATTCGTATTCCGCTGAGGCCGTAAAAATAACCACTCCGTCGTCCTCGCCCTTTTCTTCTCCCCCGGGAGTTGGCGTGTAAGTCGTGTAAGTGTAATCCTAGCTCAAACTGTATCTCATTACATTTGATTTACAGATAATCAGAGCTCGTAGATGGCGGCGATGGGTCTTTTCTTAAACACTTTCTCCAGGCGGTACTTAGGCGGTCTTGATGATAATGTGCATCTGCCAGGCAACTCGATAGGAGGAGCTTGTTACGATAGCAACTAGTGGAGAAAATGTATTATTTAATATTAAAGCAAAAAGCAAATAATGTTAAATTATTTCCTTTAGCGTAACATTTATCAGTGCAACCTGAAATTTACCATTCCTATGCAATATATTCCCCATAGAGGCAGTGGTAGTAGGTATTCCATACAGACACCATAAAATTGCATAAAGCAACAATTCAATTAACCGAAATTGCAAACGTTTTTACACATCGTTAAATGCCCAAGTGCACAGAAATGTATTTTGCAAAACGATGTCAAAAAATGGTTATAAAATTCATTCATTCATTCCCCAGAGTCTCATACTCTGGACTGGCAGAAGGAAGAAGGCCAGGACGCCTCCGCTCAGTTGACCCGGAAATGGCATGAAAAAAGGTGCAACCACCCACGGCAAACAAATGCATGTATGAGTAGCAGTCAAGTGTCCAACAAATTTGCACAGATTTTTGCATCTAGAAAAGCTGGGCATTTCATGTGCATCGGGGTTTTTGGGGAGGAGGCCCACGATGAATACATGATTTATTTTGAGGACTGACAGCCCGAGGAGTAATGGCCGAATACGACGTTTAACACGAAAAAAATATTCAATTAAATATTACGTTGCGCTTTTTACAGAATTCAGTTCCTGCCTCAAAGGAGCAAGGAGCTGAAAGCCAAACATTACACGAAAATTGTGTGTAAAATTAAAAAAGGGAATGAGCTCGTGATGTTGGAAATAAATTGAGCGAAATGGTGGCAGCTACTTAAGTGAAAATATTTTTGCGCTTGTAATAACTTGGCTGCTCTAACCACAGTCTGTTCCTGCTCCAACCCCTGCTCCTCCTCCGGCTCAAAAGAAGAGCCGAAAAGCGCAACACGAAAGGCGCTTAAGTGCTGTGGCTTTGGCCTAGGGATGGGCCAAAGGAAATTCCTTAGCTCATGAAAATCACGTTAATCTAGGTTTTGTGGTTAAATTAGTAGCTTAGGATTTTAAGTTTTTATTATTTTATTTAATTTCGAAAATTTTAAACAAGCATTAAAATGGGTTGAAAGCGTAGAAAATATATATTTTAGTTAAATGATTTAACTTAAATCTATGTTTTATAATTGCAAATATAATTAGAAAACCTTGTTCATAAGTATATAATTTTATATGATGATTATAATCATCGTTTCCTTTCATTGAGTATTTTTATTAGTTTTTTCCTCCCCGTGACTGCACTTTACCCATACCTAGCCCAAGTCCCATCTTCAGATTTGAGGCCTCTTAGGATCTCGGCTGCATTCATACGTTTTCGATTAAGCTCGGTCTTGGTCTACTTTACCGAAAAACGGAAAGCGGAAATTTACACAAAGAAAGGATGTAGCACACCACCGGCTCTATATATAAACTATATATAGTAAGACGGAATCGCAGCTGTAGCTGCAGCTCCGGCCGGAGCCCCAAAGTGGGCTAAAATTGTAGCACGAGTATGACTGACAGGCCATTAATTTTGGATTACCCGGCCGGGCCAGAACCACTATGAGGCTCTCAGTTCCAGCTCCAGCTACAGCTCCAACCAAGAGTCGTCGACAGGAGGAGGCTTCGCCGACAACAAAAATTGCACACGCTCTTAGGTACATTGGCGGCCCTCGGGCGAGGCTGTTAAACATTTCATAATGCCTCGACACACATTTTGGCCGCCGTTCGGTTCGGTTTGGTTCGGCGGTGGTCGTTAACGTTAATGACAACTTAAGTGGTCATGTATAATTTCTGTAAATTATTGCCCACCTAGGCAACAAACTGGTAACAATAAAGTGGCGCAAGCAAAATAAGGGCTATGGGTTTGGCGAAAAAGGAAACTATAGCTGAAGTGAAGATTTTGTGGTTAAAATGAAGGGTTTTCAAATTTAAAAGGTAAAAGATGGTGTGTATTATGTTCTTTCCAAACTATGGAAGAAAATTTTAGATAAAAAAAATGTATAAACATATCTACAGAGGTTTGGATTTTTAAAATTCAATACAACCAATTTACGCCAAAACGCCAAATATCTGGGATTGTAAATCACTGACCTTCGCCGAGTTGGTGACAATATAATAACATCGACCCTACCACAATACAGGCGACAACGAATCTAATTACATAACAAGCCTTTTACAACTCCGCAAGCCAAAAAACGTAAAGTTTTCATGTCGACAGCAATAAAACTGTCGACTCAGACACTTTTCTGCCATCAGCAGTGCACTCACCCAGTCTCCGAGAAAGCGACACCTAAAGGATGTCGAGACCCGAATTCAATTAATGTAATTCAGTTGAACATGAAAACTAATTTGGCCACCTTTGACTGGGTGGGAAAATAAATTTTGCGACTAATTAAGTAATTAATACTTTAGATCCAGCCATCCCAACAGCATTTACATATGAAAATGCCAAACTTTTGGTAAGTTTTACCCCTTGCTAAGTTTCCTAAGTCCAACAAGAAAGTAAATCATGTTCATCAACTTGAATATATAAGTGTGTGCGCTGTGCACATACGCATAAGTCAGGCAGTGGCAAAGTAAATGTACAAATCTCGAGGCATAAATCACAATTTCTTAGCCATTAAGACGAGACCGCAAAGATTTGCGGCTCCGCTGGTTCGCCCTGCCTGATGGAGGAGCGTCTGCCAGTGCTTGTGAGTTTCCAGCTGCGACTGTGGCTTTTTATCCCGGGACTTCAAATTTGGCCAAAGAAGAAGATGCCACTAAACGATTCGCTAGAGGAGACATTTCGCTACAGCAAAGAGAGTATTAAATGTGTATTAAACTTGAATACAGCCCTTAAAGTGTTTAAATTTTAAATTTAAATATAGAAAGTTTATAAATTCCAATAAAGAAAAGTTTATGCTATTTTATTAAATTGTATTTACAAAGTAATCAAGAGTTCTACAAAGAATGTCGGTGGTCTTGATGTTTACCTAATTAAACAGCATCGGATTTTAGTTGCCGAAATTCTTTAAAAAGGTCTTCCGTTCAATTAATTTGTGATAATTCAGACTCGAAATAACTTTGATACTAATTTATTAATCCTGCCCTGCAAAGTCCTTTCCCAATTTGATCCCAGCCTCTATGTTCGCCTTCAACTCCGGCAGCATTTTCTCCAATGCCTCCATCTCGACATCGTTCATATCGGGCAGTCCGAGGTTCTCCTTGATGCCCTGCGGTCCCAGGACGAATGGCGTGGCAAAGAACTGGGCCTCGGTGACCTCCGATTCCACATATGCGCACTCCACGATGGGCTTGTCACTGCCCTTGATGGCCTTGATCAGATTGCCAACGAATAGGTTGGCGGCATGGGCCATCGAGAGGGTGGCCGATCCCTCGCCCTTCTTGGCGTTGACAACTTCGGTTCCTGCTCCTTGGATGCGCTTGATCAACTCCTCGACTTCTTCGTCGGTGCCATTGTAGGCGGGCGTGCACTGCGACAAGATGGGCAAGATGGTTTTACCGGTGTGCCCTCCGATCACCGGCACCTCCACTTTCAACGGGTTCACATTGAGGGCGTCCCCCACAAAGGTCCTTGCACGCACCAAGTCGAGACTGGTGACGCCAAAGAGGCGGTTTGGATCGTAATTGCACTTGGCCTTGAGAACTGTGGCCGCGAGGGGCACAACAACGTTTACTGGATTTGTGATGAAAGCAATAAAGGCCCTGGGACACACTTCGCTGGCGGCGAAGGCAACATCCGCCGCCACAGAGGCATTCACTTTCACCAAATCGGTCCGTGACATTCCTGGCTGGCGGGGAAGTCCAGCCGGAACCACCACGATGTCCGCCATGAACATTGCCCTCCTCAGGCTCTTTCCGTCTCCGCCCTCGAAGGGGCAGACTGTCGCAGGGGTGTCGATGTGCGACAGGTCCATTGCCACTCCTTGTGTATTCCTTAAGTCGTGCAGCGCCAGGTGCTCGATGTGAGGATTGAGCTTCAGCAGCAGGGACAGCGGCTGCCCTATGCCGCCTGCAGCGCCCACTACGGCGACCTTGAGGCCACGCCTGTTACTTTGGCTGCTGTGAAGTTTTCCTAAGAGCGGTTGAGCGCATTTCAAAAGGCCAAACATTATCAGACTGCAATTTGGCAAAACTAATATAATTCAAATTTGAATAGTGACAGAAGCTCAGGATGACTTGAACGGAAAGGCAGTGAACATGAGATTTCTAAAAGCATATTTCATAAATGCGTTTGTGTAATAATTATTAATTATTTAATTATAATTAAAGGCTCCTCCGAGAGGAGGAGTTAGAACATTTTAAACATTATTAATTGTAAATTAATCGATGCATATATAGCTACAGCTATCGATATTTTCCCTAATTTAACAACAAATAAATCTTTTCTATTCCAAGTAGGCTTTTCTCTGCAACGTCAAACGTAAGATCTATTCTATAATAGACCTCATTCCGGACAAGATGTTACTACTAGGCGGACTTAAGCTCCTATCAAATATCGCTCTAGCCGCTCCATGGCGCTTATCCCGCCGCACTTTCAAGGTGGCCATTGTGGGAGCCGGCGGAGGTATCGGCCAACCATTGTCGCTCCTCCTGCGCAGCGGTCCAGGAATTAAAGAACTCGCTTTGCACGACCTTGTCGAGATGAAGGGAATCGCCACGGATCTGTCCCACGTCAGCAAGTCGGGAATGGTAACAAGCTTCTCGGGGGAAAATATGCTAGAGCCGGCAGTGAGTTGCGCGGATTTGGTGGTTGTGGCCGCCGGAATGCCCCGCTTGCCTGGAATGCAGCGGGACCAGCTGATGGCCGCCAATGGCCAAGTGGCCGTTAAGGTGGCCACTGCCGTTAGCGTGGCCTGTCCCGAAGCACTACTCGCCTTTATTACCAATCCCGTAAATATGATTGTGCCAGCCGCCGCAGAGGTTCTCAAAGTTAATGGGATCTATGATCCTTGCCGCCTCTTCGGGATTACAACCTTGGATGTGGTGCGCTCGGAGAAGTTTATTGGCGACTTTATGAAGATCTCGCCGGATAATGTCAAGATTCCAGTGATTGGTGGCCATGCCGGGATCACCATTCTGCCGCTCTTCTCGCAGTGCCAGCCAGAGTTCCATGGCGACAAAGCTGTGATTAAGGAAATGACTCATCGCATCCAGGAGGCAGGCACAGAGGTGGTCAAGGCCAAGGCAGGCAAGGGATCAGCCACCCTGTCGATGGCCTTTGCTGGAGCCAGATTCGTGGACTCCTTGCTGCGCGGATTGAAAGGAGAGAAGGGCATTGTAGAGTGCGCTTATGTTGCCTCGGAGCTGACAGATGCTCCCTTCTTTGCCAGTCCCTTGGAACTAGGAAAGGATGGGATCGAGCGCTTCCTGCCACTTCCAACTATGAGCAGCACTGAAGAGGAGGCAGTGGCCAAGCTAATACCTGTCGTGCAAGAGAATGCCAAGGAGGGTATTGATTTTGCTCGGAAGTGCTTGGAGGAGAGCATGGAGGTTTTCCCATCATCTTTGCCATGATGGATCTAAGTAATAATAATTATTTCTGTAAAAAATATCGTTAGAAAACACCTCTAAAACACTATTACACTTACATATATGTTAGCTAGTTTTCTAACTATTTTTGTCAACCTAAATACTAAGGCCTGCAACAATTTTCTTTTAATTTTGTCATAAGCTACCCTCTCTAAAAAAGTAAGGCCATTTTTTTGGCACTCTTGACAGCCAAAACTCAAGCTTGGCAGCTTTATAATGACACCACGGAGACAGTCTAGACAAAGAAGCCCAATAAATACAATTTAAGACTGACATTGGGTTGCGTCAATGAGTGAAGGGGCCAGGACAACGCACATTTTTAAGGGTATTTTGTAATAGGTTGCCGAGATCTTTAAATTCATTTGGTTTTGCTTCTGCTAAAATGGCCGCAAATAAATTTCGGCAAAAATATTTCTATGGCCGGGCGTATATCGTCTGGCAGTAAATTACATTTGCAGTGAGACGCTCTCTCTCTGCTCGACCTGCTAACAAATTGCTTGGCCATCTTTGGGGGCCCCCGAAAACCTCACATCCTTCCTGTATGAGGGGTGTCCTCCCCCCGAAAGTAGGCAACAATTTTCTTCATTTTATTTCACACTCACACACTGGCTCTCTCCCCCCGAAAACTCACCCTCCGTAAAAACGAAAAACACATTGGGTGTGTGTCCGTTTTATCTTGTTGTCCTTCTACCAACCACTCCCACTCCCGAAAAAAAAAAATTCAGGAGGTGGGCGGCGCCAAAAACTTTCTTGCGACCCAGTTTCACTTTCACCAGGAGTTCAGTTCACCTGGCCAAGTTTCGGTCTGAGCGTGTGTGCGAGTAATTCAACTACTGCGGCTGCATTTGTTGCTGCCAAGCAGCCTGACAACAAGATAAATTAAGCCAAGGCATTTCAGACAACATGTTGGCCAGTGTGCCACCTTCAAACAGAAACCAGAGATGTGTTTCCAAAGACAAAAGCGAAACTTACACGGGTCCACGAGCCACGAGCCACGAAAGGTGTCTCCGTTAAGTGGCTTTCCAAGTCATTGCTTCACACGCTTTATAGGGACATTACTTCTTAGAATGTTTGGAAGCCTTTAAAAACTATTTTAGATTGAACAATAAAACAAAAAAATATATATTTGTCAGGGTAAAAATTAAATAAAATAATAATTTTACCAAGTTAGGAGTTTTTATATTATTTATTTAGATAAAAAATCGAAATATTCCATTGATTTAAAAATATTTGTACACATCAAATAGCAATTTCATTTTCTTATTCAATTTCAACACCCATTTAGCTTTCCTTACCATAAATGTAGCATACTCTGTTAGTCCATTCCTTGTTTGTCCTTATTTTTTACCCATAAATATTCGTTTGCCGGCCTCTGGCAATTTGTTGGAATTCTGTGGTCATATATTTCATATGCAACACTTTCCGTTTATGGGTTAACTAATTGCAGGAAAAAAATCTAAGCAGCATCAGCAAACAATTTCCGGCCCCAACTACCATACTTTGCCCAAGTTTTGGGAGCTCTTTTATTTCTGTTTCGGTTTCGCTGGCACTTTCTGCTTTCTGTTTATTTGGACACAAACTTTTTGTGGGTCATGCCGAGTGTTTACCTGGGCATCGCAGAACTTTATTTATTAGCCAAAGTCATTTGGACTGCTCCGCTGTTGATCTTTTTGGGCTTATTAAAAAAGTTGACTAAAAGTATAGCAAAATCATAAAAGTACAGAATATTTATATATTTATTGGACATTAGTGGATTGATTTCGCTTTCAATTCAAGGAAGAAAGAGTAGGTCCTTTTTATTTATATTTCTAATTAAAGTGAAAGTCCTTTTTTAGATGTAACATGTGTTTGTTCCAAACGATTTATTTTTAAGCCGCATCCCTTTGGAACAAACACAAAACCCGAATTGCGATTCTGACCAGACTCGTTGCTCGCTTATCAAAACAAATAAATTCCCCCGGCTAAGTGTGTTCATTTATCTTAATTTAGCAGTTTAGAATGCCAAGCGGGGGAGTGGAACAATAATTTTTCACACTATTTTCATAGATCCTTGTCAAAATAGGATAGCAGCGCCTCAGGAAGCCGGAAGTCCGAGCAGCTGTGCTAGAGCGTTTAATTTCCATGGAGCTGCACATAAATTTCCCAGTTGGCTGTAATTTCTGGCCCCCGGGGAATGGGAGCGGGATCGGGATCGAAAAAGGAGGAATCCGACCCGAACCGGAGGCAAACCTTTTTTGCGGGAGTAAACAAGTTGCAGCACGGAATTCGCTTTCGATGCGAATTTATGGCCATTGCCCTCACCTTTGGCCAGTTGTAATTTCGTTATTGTTTTTTTTTTTTGTCTGGGGGTAATTTATTTCGAGAGCGGCCAAAACAAACACGTTAATTTCGCAAATTAGTAGCATGTGTTGTTCCTCTTACCGGGGCTTAATTAGTTTAAAAGGCCCGCCCATCCGATCGATAAGTCCAACAGTTGCGAGTTGTCTGAGTTGGTGGCCCATAACTTTGCCTTTGCACTTGTCAGCAGCTTCCAGGACGAAGGAGATGAATGTGGACCGGTTCTGGCTACGGCTCTTGGCCAAAATGTAGTGGCCCTTGGCTCGTGGATCTCCATAAATTGCTGGCCTGGCCAAAAAGGCGCTGGCTGCCAAAACTATTACTCACACTCCTCCACGGCCGCCACCGGCGACGACGGACGGATAATTCAAATTGTCCATTACGCGCAGCTGCCGCTCGATTTGAGTCCTTTGGCAATTGGCCGGGTCGAGTCCGGCCAAGTTTTCCGCCTTTGTTTGTCTTCATAAATTCCACTTTACTCTACTCTCTCTCTCTCTCTCTCTTTTCTGGGCAAACCTAAAAAGGGAAAGGAATTTTCAAACGAATTTAAGTCAGTCCCTTGGACTCGTAGTCGGTGGCTAATTGCGAATCAACAGAAGCACGATTAAAAAAGAAGTGCAAACTCTGCCAATCAATAAAAACAATTGAAAAGCAATCAGAGTTTAATTACCGCAACAAAACGCTGATGAGACGTCGACAGTAAACAGAAAATCCCGCACAAGGAGCGAAATCACCAAACCATAAATCAATAGCAAACAAAAACGCTCCAGCATATATCCTGGGGCAAAAACGTAGCGGAGCGAGGAATAAGGAGCTGGGAGCTGGGAGCACGAAACATGGAGCATATGAGGCGCAACCAAGTAGACCGCAAAATAAAAGCAACAATAAAAACTGGCAATAGGATGGACTCGTAAACGAGCCGGGGGTAAGGCCCATAAACAAAGAAGTAAACAAGCGCCAAGTACAATACACAGGCACACATGCAGGCACAGCATGGAGGTACATAAAAATGTCTCCTTGTGCGGACTTCCGCCGGAAATGGAGTGCAGAACGAGCGGCACTTGTCTGTCTGCCGATATCAGCAGCGATAGACAAGCGCATAAAAGCCCGATAACCAGCTCGCATTACGAGCTCGACAAAAATATTAACGAAATGAATATACAAATGCTTGTGGTAGAACACCTTCTGAATATAGGAGTTTGTAGATTTAATTTAAAAATATTTTTAAATCGTTTTAATATAGGATTAGTTTAATCAAGTCAATAAATAGGTTTTATTGATGACTAAACATTCTTACTTTACAATTTTCTCCCTTCATAGATGATTCAGAATCAGTTTTAGTAGTATTTATAAAAGATTTCCCTTTAAATCGTAAAGGAAAAAGCCGAAAGGCCATCACTGATTTTTGCTTTAGAAGCACTTGCTTGTTCCCAAGACTTTTAAATGGAAATTGCTCAATTAGACCCGGAAATAGATACCCATATAAAGGTTCGACTGTCCCCAAAGCCAAGTCAGTCTTAAGAATGCAGTTCCACGATTATATGGAGTACATAGATATAGGATGCCTGATGGCTTGCATACCGCGATATCAATGGAGCAAGCGGCCTTTGGGCAGGGATCCGCGCAGGCAGGGCAGAAAGGCTCTCCTAGTACTGGGTATCATTTGTGCGATCTCTCAAATTATTGGTGTATTTATGTATTGGTACATTTACGAGCGCATACAAGAAGACACTGCTGCATTTGTGGCCGGAATGGCGGAAATGTGCGGATCTCTGATGCTAACTATGGTGGGATTCTCCAATATTTATGCTTTGATAAAGAATCATTCCCAGATCGAGGCGGTGCTCGAAGAGCTCCAGAAGCTATATCCCGGTCCCAGAGAAAGGCACTATCGCTGCCAGCACTACTATGAAATAGCTATTTTCATAATGAAATGCGAGTTCAGATTCTATGTGATATTCTACATTTACTATAATAGTGCGCCCCTGTTCATGCTCCTCTGGGAAAATTTTAAGGAGGGTCAGGAGCTGACCTACAGAACGCAGACCAACACCTGGTTTCCCTGGAGGGTCCACGGTTCAGCCTTGGGATTCGAATTAGCTTACCTCAGCATAGTCATGGCCTCGTTCATTGGCGTGGGCTTCAGCTTAGTTACCCAGAATTTGGTGTGCATATTCACCTTCCAGCTGAAACTGCACTACGATGCCATGGCCAGTCAGTTGCAGAACCTTGATGCCCGACATCCCCAATCCAAGGAGCAGCTGAAGATTGGATTCAGTTGGATTCTCCAGATCGCAGACCAATTCAATATCATCCTAAACTTTAATTTCATGAGCAGCCTCATTGGCTCCACTATTGCGTTTTGCATGACGAGTGTCGCTGTGCTCCTGCTGGATTCGGCATCCGCCTTCAAGGCTTTTAGTGGCCTGGTGGCCTTTGTGTTCTATCAGTTTATCATCTGTTACTTGGGGACAGAAGTCAATTTGGCGGTGAGTAGGAGGTGGTTTTAATTTTTATTTATTATTATATATTTATTAATAGCTATTTATAAAGTTATTGGGATCTTATTTAAAGTAAAAATTGAGTTGATTATTAAATATTTATATCAAATCGATACTTATACTCGATTATAATTCGCTACCTAACCTTTTTTCTACCTTCTGTAAAATAAGATACGAAAAACCTCACTAATTTGAAGATATAGTATAAAAAACAGTTGCTTGTTCTCAGGCCCCTGGCCTCTATTAGGCTTTGCAAATCAAAGTATTAAAGACTGTCAGACGGCAAAGGAGGTCACAGTGTGCGACAAGATGCAGTTCAATGACTATATGAAGTATCTTGACAAGGGCTGCGGCATTGCCTTTGCCCCACGATATCAATGGACGGGACGACCAGCAATTAAATCGAATCACAAGTGCTTTAAGAAGGGTATTTTTCTGCTCGGGGCCGTTTTATTGGGCTACCAGAATATTGGAGTGATTATCTATTGGTATATATACGGCCGAACGGTAAAGGATACGAAATCGTTCGTTGCGGAACTATCAGAGATGTGTGGCTACCTCATGCTCACTTTTGTGGGAATTGGTAACATATTGACATTCACGCTGAATCGTCCACAAATCGAAGTGGCGTTCAAGAATCTACAAGATCTATATCCCAGACCTGGTCAAAGGCACTATCGCTGCCAACACTACTTTGATCTACCACTATTTCTAATGAAGCTCCAGTACTGGTTTTATGTGATGTTTTTGGTGTATTACAACGGATTTCCCATCTTGCTGCTTGTTTGGGAATATCTGACGGAGGCGAAAACCCTGAGTTACAGGGCGCAAACCAAGGCGTGGTATCCGTGGAAGATTTATGGCTCCGCCATCGGATATAGTGCATCTCTCTGTTGCCAAGCCCTGGGCTGTTTAATAGGCGTTGGCATGAGCTTGGCTGCCTTAAATATAGTCAGCGTATTTACCTTCCAGTTGAAGCTGCACTACGACGCCATGGCGAGCCAGTTACTAAGTCTCGATTCGCGTCATCCCAAGGCCCACAAGAAGTTAAAATCTCTGATCGCCTATCATTGCCGGATTCTCCAGCTCGGCGAGCAATTCAATCACATCCTTAACTTCTACTTTGTGGCAACTTTAATTGGTTCCACAATTGCAATTTGCATGACGAGTGTGGCAGTGCTTCTGCTGGATTTGGCATCTGCCTTTAAGGCTATCCTTGGTATAGTGGCCTTTGTCTTATACCATTTTGTCATCTGCTACATGGGCACCGAGGTCAACTTGGCGGTAAGTGAGAGAACCGTGTGTAAAACGTATATAAGACTTGATTTTTTTTATTTATTTCTGTAGTGAATTTGACTCACTTTTCTGATAATATAGCATATCAATCCATGCTGGCCCTCTCTATACTAAATCCCAGAGCAGTTGTCTGTTCTCAGTTCTTTAGGTTTTTGAAACTCAATTAGGTCTTACTTTCTTACAAAGTATAAACGTTACTATTTTTCGATTAAGTTAGTTATCATTCTTGCTATCAGTGGAAAGGTTAATTATAATATGCAAAGACCAGGAGAATTTGGTTTACTCTTGGGATATCAACTCCAGCAGCAACAGAGAGGTTACCCTAGCTGTGAGTTTGAACTATTAGAGAAATTACTACAAAGAGATATTAAATTATGTATTCCGCGGCATCCTTCTCAGTTTCAATACCCTCGCATTACACTGATAATCAACCCTGAGTTAACAGTTGCCTGTTCTCAGGACCTATGACGCAATATATTTAATAATAATCAATTAGGGTTGACATTCTGAAGAATAAAAGCCCGCAGATTTAATGGGAACTCAAAGTCAATCTGAGCTTGCAACAGGATGCACCTGCAGGACTATATAAAGTATCCGGACAGGGCCCTTCGCATGGGCTTCGTGCCGCGGTTTCGGTGGAATGGCCGCCCGGAAGAGATAGTTTCACACGTTACGGCCAGAAAGGTGCTTTTTGTACTCGGAACTTTTTCTCTGTGTTATCAAAATTTTGGAGAACTCGTGCATTGGCAGTTGGTGGGTCGCAAGGCAGAGGGCACGGCCGGTTTCGTGGCGGAGATATCGGAGGCTGCCGGAGCCATGATGCTCACCTCCATTGGAATCTGTAATATCTGGGCCCTCACTTACTACCGTACTGAGATCGAGGAAGTACTCACAGAGCTGAAGGAGCTTTATCCAAGACCCAAGGAGATGCATTATCGGCAGCAGCACTATTTCGAGTTGGCTAATCGCTTCATGAAGTACGAGTTTATATTTTATTGGGCCTTCTGCGACCACCCATCTGTTCTGTGACCACCCATCATATTCTGTGCATAGTAACCTATAACTTGAAGCTGCACTACGACGCCCTGTCCGAGCAGTTACTCGCTTTGGATTCCTGTCAGCCGGACGCTCATCGAACCTTAAGAAGGCTAATCGTATACCACTGCAAAATCTTGGATTTGTGCGACCAAGTCAATTACATTTTTAACTTTTCCTTTCTGGCTGCCTTGATATGTGCCACGGTTGCCATTTGCATGACGAGTGTGGCGGTGCTGCTCCTTTACCTGGCCTCCGCCTTTAAGTACATTAATGGCCTGGCAGCGTTTGTGGTGTACAACTTTGTCATTTGCTACTTTGGAACTGAGGTCACCATAGCGGTAAGTACGAAGTACTTAAAATAGGTAATAACTAAGCCTAAAATACCGCTTATTTAATATAATAATTGTGATGGCAATAGAATATATGATTAATCTGAAAAAGAGCTACTTAAAATACTGATTAATAACTTCTAACCAAATTTATATTATTTTGTCTTGAAAAATAATTCAATTAAGGGGGGACATCTGAGTAACTGGCAAAAAAAAACCCATTTTCTAGAATTTTTTTTGACCAAATGAAAAAGCCAATTGAAAAATTTTAAAGTAGGTTTGATAATGTTAGATGTGAACTACAAAATAAATTTTTTTGTTAATAAATCGAAAACAAAATGGCGGCTGTGCAGCATGTCTTCGTAGGCCCTATTTTTTTGAAAGGGGTCCATGGCCGAAAACCTAACGTCCTTAGTTTTTGATCTAGAACAAAATATCAAATTTTGTTAGTTTCTATATCTCAACCGCTATCGACGTACGTAGGATTTTTTCGATATTTTGATTTTTTGCAAAATGGTGAGTGATTAAATAAAATGTTCAATTTTCATGAAAAAAAAAACGTCACAAAATTGTTCATAAAAAAAAGCAAGCAAAAAAAAAAAAATCCTACGTACGTTGATAGCCATAGGTATTTTTGATATACTGTCAAAATTTCAGATCGATCGGTTAAGACTTGTTCGAGTTATGTTTTCGGCCAACTCGAAAAAAGTGGTTTTGAGAAAAACGCGTTTAAAGTTTTAAAATCGTATATGATTACATGTGAGGCATCGCCGCAGAATGGAAATTTTCGACACTTAGAAACTTTTGCCGGATTCTATCTTTTGATATGTTATTTTTAAGACCCTAAAGTATTTTTTAAGCAAAAAAAAAAATTTTTCGATTTTTAAAAAAAGTTACTCAGATGTCCCCCCTTAAGTCATTTTGGCGATATTAATCGACTTATTTCAAAGTCAGATAAATTAGATTTATTAAATTGCACAACTGCTTAGCAAATGGCTCTTTCTTATGAATTAAAAATTTCCGTAATGACCCATTTGCGTAGTCAAACCAGTTGTCTGTTCACACAGTAGATTATCCCACCAATTACGACCAGAAAAATGAGCTTGGCAAGGCAGTATTAATCCCAAACCAGATGCGGTTGGAGGAGTTCATGAAGTACCCGGACTGGCTCTGTAGAATGGCACTACTGCCGAAATACCATTGGAGAGGCAGACAATCTTCGGCCGAACATTTTTCCTTGGCCAAACGCATTGTTCTAATGGTGGGACTCCTTCACTTGGCTTATCACAATTTCGGATGCATTATGTATGGCTATCATGTCGATAGAACCTCCAAGGATCCCTTTCGGTATGTGGCGGAACTAGCCACTGTGGGCAGCATGCTCGGATTCACCGTAGTGGGGACCCTCAACCTGTGGAAGCTGCTGTACTTTAAGCCAGAAATTGAGGATATGCTGGGAGACTTCGAAGAACTGTTTAAACTCGCCGACACGAATACACATCGTGCTAGCATGTACTACCAGGGCTATACGCGATTTATAAAAGGACTAGTGTTCAAACATGAACACGGTTATAAATAAGAACGCATCTGTTAGCGATTAAGTCCCGGCCACAGTGCACGGTCTAGCACTTGTGTGCATAGCTATTTGAAACCGCCACATGAGCCTATGTAACAAGTAACCCGAAATATGACCTCCTGTGAGCAGTCTGGGTTTGTTTAAGATATGTACGATCGGGTTGACATGTGCACCCTTATCGCACATAGAATATTTCCCACGATCGGGAACTGTCCGATGCGTGGGTCTAGAACTAAGATCTACAATGTAAATTCTCATGTTAGCTATATAAGCTAGGGTTTGAATGAAATAAATTCAGTTTCTTACAAAAACTCAGCAGATGAAGACTTCTCATTTATTTGGGGTTTTCAACTAGTGATTGCCTTCTCTTCATCAATTGTCTACTATGACTCACTACCTTTGACCCTAATGCTTTGGGAACACTTCATGACGGAGTCAAAGGAGCTGAGTTACCAGATTCAGAGCAGTACCTGGTATCCCTGGCAGATCCAAGGCTCAGTCCTTGGCTTTGGTGCTGCGTTTATCCTTCAGACTTTCTCGTGTCAGCTGCTAATGGCCTCCATTATGATAAGTCAGTACCTCGTCAGCTTCTGCGGTACTCAGTTGGAAATCCATTTCGATGGCTTGGCCAGGCAACTGGAGGCCCTTGACGCTCGTCACCCCACGGCCAAGGATCAGTTTTCCAAATGGCAAACAAGGTGAACCACATCTTCAACTTTACTTTCTGCATTAGTTTAACGACGGCGACCATTGGAATGTGCTTTTTGGCCTTCTCCATGACCATGTTCGAGGTGGGCGAAGCCGTCAAGCACTTGCTGGAACTGATTATATTCGTGATATTTTACCATGTGTCGCGATGGCACTCATTTGACTTTTGCGGTGAGTTTTGGGAGAGATTTTGCTATGGTTTATTTGTCATCTTAATTATTGTAAAAGGTTCATTTTTCAAAGAAAATTAAGGGATGGTAACTTAATATTAAAAAAAATGCTAGTAATTTGTAATTAATAATTGTACCATTATTTTATTAAATTATTTGGACACATTGTGTTGTCTCACGAATTTAAAATGTAAGAGTTCCCAAGGGATCTAATTATCTAGTTGAAGCAGTTGCATGTTCTCACAGTAGATAATCCAATCAATTACAATAATTTATCAAAAAATGTATGGCTTCACAAGGCAGTTATAATCCGAGGCCACATGCAGTTGGAGGACTTTATGATTTACCCGGATTGGGTCGGACGAATGGCTCTACTGCCGAGATACAATTGGAAAGGCAGACGTTCATCTGGAAAAAAGCGAACTCTGGCCAAGGACATCCTCCTCGGTTTGGGAGCACTCCAATTGGTGTATCACAATTTCGGCTTCTTGGTGTACGGCATTTATATTGATGGATCTTCAAAGGACCCGCTCCTTTATCTGTCGGAATGGTCCACTGTGGTCAGCATGCTCGCATTCACCATTGTGGGAACCCTCAACCTCTGGATGCTGCTTTACAATAAGCCACAGATCGAGGAGATTTTTCAAGATTTTGAGGAGCTATATAAATACGCAGCACAGAAAAAGTATCGCACACAGCAGTACTACGAGGCGTATACGCGATATTTACGAAATTTAGTTGTTTTCTACGGCATTGCCATTGTGTACTACAATTTGCTGCCTTTCATTCTAATGCTCTGGGAACACTTTCTGACAGAGTCAAGGCATTTAAGCTACACGGTACAGAGCAATACCTGGTATCCCTGGAGCGTAACGGGATCAATTATCGGCTTTAGTGCTGCCTATGTCCAGCAGGCCACTTCGTGTCAGATCTTTATGGTCACCATTGTGCTGGCTCAGTTTTTGGTCAACTTCTTTGGCACCCAATTGGAAATACACTTCGACGGCTTGGCCAGGCAGCTGGAGACAATCGATGCTCGAGGCCCTAGGGCCAAGGACCAGCTAAGATCACTTGTTGTATATCAGTGCCGTCTTTTCAAAGTGGCGGACAGGGTCAATAGCATGTTTGACTTAACGTTCTTCGTTGGCTTGTCAGCAAGTGCCCTGTCCTTGGGTTTCTTGGCCATTCAAATGACCACCTTAGATTTCGGTTCAGCTGTCAAGAATTTCATTGGACTGCTCATAATGCTGATCTATAGTTTCTCCATGTGCCGAAACGGTACACGTCTGACTTTGGCGGTAAGTCTGGGGAATAAGTTTATAAAGTAAAAAATTTGTATGGAAGCCTTGAAATATTTATTGGTAATTGTTTTAGATAACGGGGGGTTATTTTATTCAGTTTTAAACTAAATTGTTCTTTTATATAACCTTTCTCAAGTTCAAAATATTTTTCTCGCCTGGCCAATGGCAGGAATCTATAATTTAAGTGATATATCGTTATAAACACCTGTGCGTTCTCAGGACATCATTAGTGGTTGCCAAACAGCCTAATCTCAGCAGTATCAAGTTGCACTTAGCCCAATGCAGTTCCAGGATTTTATGCGCTACACTGATTTCGCTTGTCGCTACGCCCTGATGCCGAGATTCGAATGGAAAGGCAGGGAGTCGCCAAGACAACGCCAAACATTGTTTCAAAAAGTCATTTTTATTATGGCATGCATCAATTTACTTTATTATAACATTTCCCTGTGTGTCTACTGCTATCTTCTCGATAGAAATTCTATGGATACTTTATCGTATGTGGCGGAAATATCGGATACGGGCAGCATGCTGGGATTCACTGTCTTAGGAACTCTTAATATGTTTGTGCTGCTAAAATGTAGACCACCGATCGAGGAAATGCTGTCTGGACTGCAGGAACTCTTTGAGCAACGCGGAAAATGTAACCATCAAACCCTTTACTACATGGAAAAATCTTCTCTTTTGATGAAGAAATTCACCGTGTTCTATATGGTTTCCAACTGCTACTACAATGTAGTTCCCACACTAGTTATGGTCTACGAAACTCTTTCGGAGTCCCAGGAACTGAGCTACAGAATACAAACCAGCTGCTGGTATCCCTGGGAAGTTGTAGGCTCAATGCGCGGCTTCTGCGCTTCGTATATAAGCCAAATATTTTCATCTGCCCAAAACATAGGCTTCATAGCCATCATGAAGTTTTTGGTCAATGTCTGCACCACCCAACTAGAACTTCACTTTGATGGTTTGGTCAATCAGTTGGAAAACCTGAATGCCAGGGACTTTAGATCCAAGGACAAGCTCAAATCATTGATTTTCTACCATCACAAATTATTGCAATTAGCTGAGAATATAAATCGTATTTTTAACTTTACTTTTTTTGTCAGTTTGTCGACTTCTACTATAGCCATTTTTTCTATGGCCTTTAATTTGTCCACACTAAATTTTGTAACAGCCATTAGGTGTATTCATTGGGAGTAGGTTTATTTATGATCTACACATTTTCCATATGTCACAATGGCACTCAGGTTTCTTTGGCGGTAAGTAAAGAGGGAAAAGTTGTTAATTTTTAATAAGAAAATGTTGTTAAATATTTTGAACTTAATTGTTTTTATCCTTTTGGGTTTTTCTAGAGTGAAAAAGTAATGCCAGCTGCCTTTTATAACAACTGGTATGAGGGTGATCTTGCCTATAGAAAAATGCTGCTTATTTTGATGATGCGCTCCACAAAACCTTATATGTGGAGAACCTATAAGCTGGCACCAGTATCGGTAACCACCTACATGGCTGTGAGTACTCCTGAAAAGGTTATCTGATAATAATTTAAATATTTTTTCTATATATGTTTTTCCATAGACTCTGAAGTTTTCTTACCAAATGTTTACCTGCGTGCGCTCCTTAAAATAAAATGAAAAACTACAGCAAAATGTTATGCTACTTAAAATAACCATAATATATGTAGAACATAAAATATTAGTAGAAATTTGAGCAAAAACTTAACAAACATTTATTCTTGCACTTATAATAATACAAAGCTAGTTTTCACTTAAATATGTTTATTTCCGGCAATGAAATACAATTACTATTTAGCTCTTCACCTAAACCTTGAAATAAACGCACTTCTGTTATAAATATTCGTGTGTAGTAAAAAACATTTTAATTAAAAAATGTTAAATACAAAACAATTAGACCATGGCAAACATTTAGTTTGTTTCTGCTTATGAAAAATGCCTAAAATTTCTGAGAAGCCCCAAAGAGTTGACCCAGAAAATTATTCGCACTTGCTGCATAACAATGCCAAACAAAGGAAGCCCCTCAAAAAAAAAAAAGGCAATTTAAGACGGCATGAAAGACAAAAATTGCTGGGGTTTGCCTTATGTAAGGGAGGATTTGAAGGGAAGCCTGGCGAGTGCCCGCTTCACTGCTTTTTTGCGGTTGAGACTGAGCAAACTTATTAAAGCCGGACAAAGGTTGTCAGGACGGCGGCAGTAGGCTGAGGGGAGTTTTCATTTTAGAAATGCAGGGGCGTAAAATTAAGTTCTTTGGCGAAATTGCCGGAATTATGTACAAGTCACCTGACACGGTGCCTGTCCATCGTCTGTCATATGCTGGGTCTGAGTGCCGAGTGGCTGAGTGGTTGCGATGGGTGTGATTATCACATCGTTATCCAGGATCAGTGGCGACAACGTTGCCATCGCGTCCTGCCCACCGCCTCACAACCTCACCTTGCACTCGAGTTCTTCCCCTGGACAGGAGCCTTCTTCTTGTTTTATATAATAACATTTTAATTCCCTTAATACACGCTACGCTGCCCGCAAAGCCAAACAAAGTGAATGCCTGCCCAGTCGTTGTTGCTGTTGCTGTTGTTGCTGCTGCCTGTTTTTTGGCCTTCAAGTTGGCAAAGGAATCTTGCTGTTTTTTTGGCTAGTGTGTTTGTGCGTGCAAATCATTAATCATGAGCAGCGCATATTTATTGTTCTGCTTTCGATGACAGCTTTTTGCTGGCCATGGATTTTGCACGTTCCATTTGCGGCCTGCTTTTTTCGGGCTTAAAGATTTAATATTCAAGGCGACGGTACAGGATTTTTAGTGTAATTGAAATAATGTTTATAGTGTTCTTTGGGTGGAAAAAGCATTAAATATGTATTTGATTGGCTTTCATCATTATATTTTAAGGTTATATTTCTTTATGTAAATATTCTTCCCTTGAAATCCTCGACTACTAGCATAGGGTACCCACAAGAGTGAGCATATAGGCTAATTGCCATCGGCCATCTTTAGATGTGCTAAGCCTTTCCGGCTGACAGCTCACAAAAGCACGTTTGGCAGTTAATTGAGTCATCAGCTTAGACAACAGTCGGGGTGAACATATGAAAAAAGATTGTGAATTGCCCAATCATGTGGAAGTGACTGCCAAGACCTTTAAAGTACACACCATACACACACACACACACAGCCTGGTGGCCAGAACAATGGCCATGGGAATAGAAAAATCTGGCCAGACCCCATCTCCGCCCGCCCAGAATCGACAGTCTGTATAAAAATTGAGTGCGACGAAGGGAGGCAGGATACAGCTGCAGGATCATCATTGCAGGCATTTGCCTGTTGTTTACCCAGGGCTCAGGACCCGTTCCCCGTCCTGACCATAGCCTTGATAAGTTTTTAGCAAACAAAAGCGGCTCGTTACAGCAACATGGGCCTTGGGAATCGGGCTGGGTGAACCAAAACAAACCGAAGCAAGGCAAACCAGAGCCCAAACCGAGCTGAGCTGCGATGTGCATTTAAAATTGCATACACAAAACACGGAAATTCCCACAGCCCTTCTGCTTCTGCCCTCCAATGCTGCCTTTTCTCTGAAGTCAAAACCACAAAATGTGCTCAAACAACATGTCTCAATTTCGTAGTTAAACTTGGCCCAAGCAGCAAGGGCGTGGTCTTGGCCGAATCCACTCGAAATGGTAATTGAAAATGTTATGTGAGGTTTCGTGGGGGTAGCGATATTGCGGTCCATGGAAGCTGTAGGACATAATTGGCTCTGGTTTGGAACCGTTTAAAAGTTATAGACCAGATTGTAACCATCTTAAGGCAATTACGGGGAATTGCTTTGAATTTTTAAATTAACCGTAAGCTTAGAAGGCTTTAGCCTTAAATAAATAACAGCCCTTTTTGAAACAGACAAAGGTTGAATTTGCTTTTTTACCTATACAAATTTTTAGGTTTTTCTTATTACTTAATAATTGTCACAGCTTAAATTTTCTTTAAACATACAATTCTCTACATTTTATTTGCCATTCCAGGGAAAAGGCCTTTTAACGTTAAGAGACTCTCAAAAGTATGGCTTAGTATTTAAGAGACTAACAAAAAACCTTAAACGCCTTACTAATTTTATTAAAATTTAAGAGCATCTTTAACTTTCACTTCTGCTAAATGTATACCATCAAATGAAATTAATTTTCAATATTCTATATTGCCCCTCCTAAGTGAACCACTTGCAAAGGCTAGTCCGTCCGTCGGGTGTGTCCATCAATTACTTAGCCTTATCTGCCGGGGCCATATGGTGTCACCCCAACAACTGGCGGCCAAGGGGGCGCAAAAAATGTAATAACAACGAGATGGTGAAATTTTTACACACAATTTAGACACATTTCCGCACGTAGCCGGGACGAAGCCCCAGCTCCATGTGCTGGAAAACAAAAGCCAAAGCAAAGCAAAGAGGAAAAACCGCCACTGCGGAAATCGTCATGAAATGCGACTGAGAGGAAATAATGTTGGTGGGGATCCCAGAAAAAATATATAAAAAACATATTAGATATGCGAATTAAAAATACCCTCTTATAAGGCGATAATCCACTGAATATTACATATTATGGATGACATTAGACTTATAAGAATAGAAATTTCTTAATAATTTTAAAACATATTTTTATACATTTATTTGGTTGTGTAATTTAAATATTTCCTTTTGAAAGTGTATTAAAATATCTACCTAGTCCCACATTATGTGTCGCATAATGGGATGGCTTCACTTTAGCCTGAGCCAACTTAAAACAAAGCCACCATTTGGCCCCCCAAAAAATCTGTTAGCGTTTGTGTCTATTAAGCTGGAGCAATAAACTTCATAAATTCCGCAAATTAGAATGATTAAATTTCATGTTCGTGTAATTTCTAGCCGGCAGACGTGCCCCCAACTTTGGGTTATCAAATTGTTCACTGCCCGCTGACTGAATTAATGGCAAGTGATTTGGGCCAAAGGCTGGGTTGACACCTTTGATCTCCTGGCTAAACGCAAATACAACGGCCTGTCATCGGGGGGCTTAATCTATCAGTTGAACGATGTTTGTCATTCAATCTGGACAGCGTAATCAGGTTGGAGTACCCTTTAGTTATACAAGAAAGTACAGTAAATACATTTAACAGGGAATATTTTGGAAAAGCTGATCTTAAAAATGTTTTCTTAATTTTTGGGCTTAAGTTAAGTATTGTTTATTATAGACTTGATCCTTTGTTTTAATTGTAGTAAAGGTTATCAAGGTATTTGTTATTTAGCATATCTCATAAACTGAACACAGTTGTTCTAGCTTCTATAATCACATAACAATACCTACTGTCCCGCAATTGTCGTTTGTTTGGATGCGACACAAATTGGTTATATGATGTCCTGCGTTAATTATTGTCAATTTATTGAATGCTCATTATTGAAATATCACTCATACGCCACCGAGGCATGCTAATAAACCCATTGAAACGAACGCTCGATATCCGCAGCGAACTTTTAGGGGCCACAACCGCAACGCAGTTGCAACATTTGTGTTGCTTGTGAGTGTCATGTATGTATCTTACACCAGGCAACAAGAAAATAGTACCAAAATTAATAAATATTTAATAATTACAATCAATAATTTTATGTCTTCTTTAAATAAAACCTCATTCAGGATACTCTACTCACTCTTATTTTTACCAAATTCCATCCGATTTTCTATTGTTTTTATAAATATTTTTCCTTTATTTCTATCGCCTCATGTGTAGCGCGTGTCAGGTCCTTGTCTATGTTGCTGCGGGCAGGACCAGACTGACCGCGCAATCACGATGACGATGCCACCTATTTCCAATTACCGACGATGCTGAGCGAGCAGCGGCCCAGCGACCCGGCCATGATTGATTGCAACAAAACCAGATTTTGGTTACTGTCATTTAAGCGCCAACTAACTTTCGCGCTGGCCGGTCCCGCGTCCTTTCTCGAATCGAGAGAACCGCTGTCGTTGCTCTTGACTACGACGTATGTTTAATGCAGGGGATAATTTTAATTGCGCCCCCGGCTGCATTTTTAATTAAACGAAAATTAAAAATTGATTGCTTTTTGACGCCATAACTCTGGGGGCGATAATGCTGCGATCCTTTGGGCCTGCCTGCTGCTTCAATATCTCTGTGGCGCACTTTTGCTGTATTTAATATTATAAAATTTAAATCGGGTGAAAAAGGACCTAGAGAAAAACTATTACAAGTGCTATATAGGTATATGAAATTTGCATTTGCGTGGCACATGCAATGTGCGGATAAAGTTTGGTTATTTCTGGCTAGTTGTGTATGTTTTTTTTCCCGAGCAACGCCAGCCGGAAGTAAAAGGTTTTGAGCGGAAGTGCGCAGAGTTGCAACGACATATTGTGTGGCGACTACGTGCAAGTATGTGTGTGTATGTGTGTGTAATTATATATGCAGGACTCTGCTAAATGTTTGAGAGACATGCAAGGCAGCACTTAGTTCTACCAGCTAGTTTGTTTTTTGAACGAGGTACTCTTTTTTTAAGACTATTTCCAAAATGTTTATCGATAAGACTGCTATAGGGATTCCTCTCCTTTGCTGATGATGCAAATTAAATGCATATATTTCTTATCCTACTTTTTATTTTCAATGCAAGATTGATTGCACTTCAATAGCTGATTAAATTAAGCAAATGAAGCATGCAAAAACGTTGATTT